TGTGTGTGTATGGGGGGCAATGTGTGTGTATGGGGGGGCGGTATGGGGGCAGTGTGTGTGTATGGGAGGCTGTATGTGGGGCAGTGTGTGTGTATGGGAGGCTGTATGGGGGCAATGTGTGTGTATGGGGGCAATGTGTGTGTGTACACCTCCCCCCCCCCCAGCCTACCTGTCACCTGTGGGAGTCAGGCAGCCATCTTCAGCAGCAGCATGGGCTGCTGCATAACGGCGGGGGCGGGGCTTATCGGCGGGAGGCGGGGCTTCGTTTGGGGGCGGAGCCTGTGCCGGGGAGCCAATCAGTGCTCCCTCCAGCCACAGACAGCCTCCAGCACCTCAGCACTGCATTCCCTCGGACTGTAACAGGCTGTTACAGTCCGAGGGAAGCAGATGGCCAACTAGTTGCCAGCATTTGGGGGGGCCCAAGGGGGGGCACAGCATCATGTAGGGGGGGCCATGGCCCCCTCTGGCCCCCCCCCTAGCGACGCCACTGGCCACACTGCAATAATTGTTCAGAAATGGTTTGAGGAACATAACAAAGAGTTCAAGGTGTTTCCTTGGCATTAAAATTCACTATATCTCAGTCCGATTGAGGATCTGTGTGATTTTCTGGAACAGCCCATCCAATATATTGAAATTGGCTGCTAATGTCATGGTGCCAGATACTACAGTACCACAGGACACATTCAGAGATCTTGTGGAGTTCATGCCTTTTGGGCAGTGAAGGGGGTAGTTTTATTTATAGTAATTGATCAGTGTATAATATAATAAATTATACATATATTTAGTTAAAGAATAGTCAATAGAACATAAAATGCAGTATATACACAAAATACAGCAAAATAAAACACAGAGCTCTATGTAGAGCTACATTATAGGGAACATTTTCCACATAAATAGATGCCCCACATACAGTGTAAAAATAAAGAAGTATTTACAAATTCTAGTAAAATGGGGGGGGAGGGGGGAGCCAGCAGCCTCACAAGTGGGATGCAGGAGGCGAGAGCTATATGTCACATAGACATTGTGACAATCTCCCCTTCCCACGTGAGTTTGCCCACAGACTATGGACCCTGTAATACGCACTGTAAAAGTCTCCATTCGTGTAATTGGACTATATGGTTCGGAAACCGAACAGGTGCACGAACCGGAGACCAACCGGGAGCTTGTTAAGCCTAATTGCTACCTTGTAGGAATTTCCACCGCAGTCTTCTAAGTGTTCATCTGGGTGGCCACATTTCCTATGCACGGCCACGAGGTGGAGGCCATCTTGTTACACGAAAACAGGCAGCGGTGTTTGGTCATCGAGTTCATGGAACTGAAAACGGACACAGAAACTCCAGAACACCGCTGGACTTCCAGCATCACCTGCGTTCGGTTCTACAACACTTAGGAAAACACTGTTTCGGTGGAAACATTCCCACGAACAAGGGAAAAAGCTCCAGGGTAAGAATATGTTCTGTAGTTTGTTCAGTTTTAAAATACCGAGCTAGACCAACTGCTAGCCCTGATCTTATGGAACTGTTTTGGGCAGGAGCCTAGTGTACGGTCGGTAAAATTAGGACTTCCAAGAAATTCCAGAACCCCTGAACCGATTTGGGTGATTTTTGGATATGTTGGTCACCCAGATCGGGGCTATCAGGGGATGTAACATTTAGGGTATTTTTTTAAATGTATTTTTAAGGTACTTTTGGGGTGTTTGTGAAATGTGTGTTTGTTGTGCCTGGAGATAATGGTGTTTTGTACAGTTTCTGACTCCATTATCTCCCAGGCATAGGGGAGGGATTATGCTGTTTTCTGTGGGAGTGTCATGGGCGTGCTTGTCTGTGTTCAGAAATGTATAAAAGCAGGCCATCTGGCCAGATTAAATCATTCCAGTTTGTACTCCCAGAACTATGTGTCGTCTGGTTACTTGGAGGGGAAAG